CAGAGATGGCGTGATAATCTGCAGCATCTGCTGCTGTGCTAGAAGGTTTCTACTACCGGACATCTAGGCTACTTTTGATAAAGATGATCATTCAATAGAATCTAATACCAAATGTTATTGTGTTGCTGTTGCACGCCCCCATTAGCCAGCAGTGCTAGACCAGGTCCATGACGTTATACACCCTCAAAAAATCCAACACCGTCAATGGATCATCTTCTAAATCCTGTTTGGTGAGCCCCAGGCAGGCGAGGATGTAGAGTGACAGATGTCACTGGGTCTGTCTGCAGGACGCCAAATTCAAAAAACATTTTTCTTTTAAAAGGAATCACTTATCAGATTTAATTGAAATATTTATATAGTCTACGCTATTTAGTACAACCCCCAATAGTGTAGCCCTTCCATTATAACGACTACAATATGATGAGTCCCCCTTGCAGTTCTGCAAACCTGATGCTATTTTAATACTCATTAAAATGTCCTAACTAAACTGTTAAATGCAGTATAGCGACCAATTTTTTTTTTTAATTCTAAAAAAAAATCACTCCAAAAACAGGTGTTAGGCATTTTTACACATTTAAAACTAACATTTTTCCACTGACAATGAGTGAATAACAAAAATATAGAGAAAATATTCAAAGCACTATGTATTTTGATGTTACCGCGAAATAAACATGAAACAATTTGAATTCTCTACAAATGTAGAAAGAGGAAAAGGACCTCCTATTATAAACATAGGAGGTCCTGAGTGCAATCTAAGATCGAAAGAATTGTACAATATGGATTACTTAATATTATAAAGATTTTGAAATATATATTGCAATGTCATTTAGAAATTAGAGTTTCCTGTATAATCATATAAATTTTTCAAAATTTGTTTCAAAGGGGCTATATATTTATCAATAATATTTGACTTGTTCGAAATGTTTTTTTTTTTTTTTGGAAGTGCTGTAAGATATAGTTTATCTTAGAGTTAAAACATGTGATATTATTTGCATTCTTTTTTATTTAAGTTTTGCCCAGTTCTCTGAATGTATGTTATTTAGAAAAATGGCTGCTCCTAACCACTAAAATGCTATATGCTCAGAGTGGAAGTTATAAAGTTTAAAAGTGGATAGAAAAATCACACAATCTGCTAAGTTATTCAAGATTCCTACAAACACTTTCTTTATAATAATTAAAAATCGTTGTGTAATTTTAAGGGCAGAAAAACTAAGTGTTCTAATTTCATGACAACATTCTCGTGAAGGAAAATTTAAAAATCTAAAAAAGCACCGAATGACTGGCTTAAGTTCAAACTCAATATTAAATGTATTTTTAGCAATTTAATGTACAATATTAAACAATACTTTTATTTTATTATACTTTATTATGTTTTACTTTATGACTTTATTTTATTATTACTTTATTTTACTTTATTATATTTTACTTACTATACTTTTACATAAAAAAAACTGTATTGATTGAATTTCATAATTCTATTTAAAATGTAGCATGTTTTTGAAAATATAAATCCAGTATTTTTGAAATTACAAGTAAATATTTGCACTAACATTATGTTGTCACTATATAGGGACCTCACATTACAACGTTTGCATGTCATAACGCCCATTTTAATTTGAACTTTAGGGGTCGTTATATCAAGCGTTGACTGTATTATACGCACAAAAAAAACATTTATTAGATATTTTTCTTGATTTTTAACATTTTAAGGGGACTAATTTCGTTTATTCATATGTTCACTCTGCTGGTTAAACCAACAAGGTAACCTAGAGAGTTTTATAGAACCATTAAAATAAATTAAACAAAACTAAAATAAGGTGACCAAAATGATAAATAGATAGTAGAAAAAGCCAAAAAAATTACATTTCGAAATAAATATTAAATCAGGCTTCTTGTTGGTTATCTGTAACCATATTATTTGCCATATTTGGTATTACACATTGATCAGCCTTTTATTTACAAAATAAAAATTAGCAATTAGCATACAATTAAGCTTAAAAACATGCTTGGAAACACACGATACCATAGAATATCAGGAAAGTAACAAATTAGATTTCATGCAATAAAACAAACAATGAAATTAACTTAGTGGTTTAAAATCGTCACACGTACAATAAGCAACACTAAAGCCCACGGTGACTTTCTAATTAGAAAATGATAAGATCTCCAGCAATTTGTTTGTTACCACCCATGGCTCGAAATTAATGGCTGTCTGATACAGAACCTATAAAATTTTACTCAAATTATCCCAAAATAATTATGAGTATTATCCCAGACCAGCAATCGATATCAAGGAAATGGTAAACAGTTTCGATTTTCAGTTTTGAGGTTTGGTTTGTGTTATTAATACAAAATAGGATTTTTCAACACAATTGTGAGCCATACACATTCATTGAATTTTAATTTTTCATTTTAGTAGCTTTTCTAACCAAATAATTTATTAAAGACTTGCAAATGGACCAGTGAAAATTTTTATGGACCAAAAATGACTTACAGTCACTGGCCCATGAAGCAGTAGTAACTAAATTTTCTTAATTTTTGCCTCTGCCATCCATACTCTACTTTTTCAAAATTGAAATTTAATTTTCCAATATTATAAAGACATGCACACCACTGTAACTAAAATAATAACACTGCATTAAAATTACATAATAATAAACTTCAGAAAAATACGGCAAAAGAATATAAATAAATAAAAATATTAACAAAAGCAGACTTATATACTGCTCAAGACATAATAGATCACATTTGCATGCAAAAAGTTAAATGTAGTATAGCAAAAGTGATTTTTCAGCTCTACAGATTTATAAATGTATACATTTTATTTTACCTAATTGTGAGAAAAAGACAGTAGCACAAAGGTGATTGATGTTGGCAGAACGTAGTATCAATAAATCAATATAGGAATATCTCCCATCGCAACATAAAACTCGGTATCCAAAACAAGATTTTATGGTCCAGAATAAAAAATCATGTTAAGTCACAGAATTCAAATTCATAATTTAGATAGCAAAAATATAAATAAGTACTTCAATAAGATGTATAAACTTCTGTGATAGAGCAACCACACAAAACCAAAAGCCATCTTTGTTTGATTTTGAACACCAAGTAATCGACTCAAAAGATTTATCTGTACACATATACTGAAGATTTAGAATATTGGAGGGGAAGAAATTTTGAATATTTCAGTCACTGGCCCATGAACCAGTAATTGAAAGATATAACTAGTAGCACACTTTTTCACTGGTCCATTTCCAAGTATAGACCTTTTTAAGACAATGTTTATGTAAATTTAATTGAAAAACTATACAAAGAATACGAAAGGTTCACAATTATGATGATAAATACGATTTAGTGACAATAACACAAGCCAAAACACGAAGCTGAAAATCATAAAACCAAAAGAATATACCACTTCTTTACAATATTTATTTACCCTGGAAACCACTTATAATGTACAGTGGCTCTAGAAAAAATTTAGATGTCCTGAATCAACGAATGACCCTTAATATTGAGGTCAGTATGATATGTTGTTATAAACATATCACATGAGTGAGTAGGATAATACTTTAAATACAGTAGATTCTGAACTAAACAATAAAATATTTTAATAAAAACTATTAAGACTAAAGTTTTAAAGTTAAACATAATTACATTCAGTTGCCTACCCAGAAATATGTTTATAAGAACATAAATGATAATTACACAACAAATTTAAAAGCTTTTTCATGTGTTTACATACATGACAGCTCTAAAAAATTAAAATTATATCAATCGAATTATATAACTAAGTTATTTGGCTCAATACCAATATTTTTGGTTATTTTATAAAGACAGCTAGCATATAATCAAAGTGATAACAGTTACAAATTTTAAATAACAATCAGAAACTAAGATTAAAACTCTAGACTTAAACCAGTATTCCTCTTATGCACTAATCAGGATACACGAGAAAATTGGCATTAAAATTCTATAACCAATACTAAACGACATCAAAGATGAATACATAACACCAGGAATGAAGTTATTATTAAATAATATTTTAAATTGTCCTTATTTGCCATATTTAAATGCTTGTTTTATCTCAACAAAATGGTAAACAATAAAGTCGACGAGAAAAAATTCAACTTTAATTTTGAAAAAAAAAACAACAAAACGTTAGTGTTACAACCAGAAACAAAGTAATACAACCAAAAACATGATGGTATGAGATATTTAAACCGTAAATCTACTATATTTAAGGAAAAATAAAATGAAATCAATTATCTATATTAAGTCATAAATATGCTAGCATGAACCAAAAGTATTCATATGCTGAATTTATATAGATTATTTTATAATAATACAAATGTAGGGATGTTTCCAACTGGAAATATAAACAATTCACTAGTTAATCGAGTTGAGATGATATTGGTACTGAAAGTTGCATATTTTATGCTAGCAGACGATATTACATGACAGGGAAAATAATGTAAACAATGAGGGCTAGCAGATTTTTTGATATCGTTATATTAACAGAATCTAAAATTTTGAATACTTGAAGGATTAATAATCAATAATAATTGATCATAGCATCTTGCCTAATAACAATATGATGATTAGCTGACTACGATTTTGAAATACTGACCTTGGTAACTGAATCCAATATTTTGATCATGTTATGTTTTCGACAAGGATAATGAACAAATGCCGGAGACTCGAAATGAAACTTTAACATGTACGTTAAGAAGTAAAAAATAAAAAGATTTCTTATTAAGGAATCTAAAAACGATATTGGAAATACGGGGTATCGATTTATTTTTTAATTTAATTATTATTTGGTTGGAATACTAAGTCGGCTTCAAAGGTAAGATGATTGATTTCTATTTATCATGCAATCATAGTGTTTCTTTGGTGATAGTATTTGATGTTTCCAGGTAGAATGCGTATTAAAGGACAATAATATTTGTTCCTTATCATTGGGATTATACCTGGAAACATTTAAAAGCTGTCCCACTGACCTGAGTTTCTGCAGCTTCAGTCAAGGGGGTTTGGGTGTTGGCTGCTACCCATGCCTCTGCAAAGGTTTCCATAGCAGATTGGAAATCCATCGCACCGGGCCTAAGATTTATCACATGGAATGTTTACATTGACCACGAGGAAACTTCGTCCTGCCCTGACCCTTCAACACACTGCTAGTATTTCGAATCATGACGCCTTGTTGACTAAAGACCGTTTCGTCAACTCCCATACAAAACGCATGTTCAGAAAAAAAAGAGTTCCAGTCATTCGTATACTTTCCATCTTTCTCTCAGAAGTTCGGATTAGCATAGTCTTTTCATCATCTAATGAGGTTAATCCTGTTTGTTACTACTAATTTAGTTTCTTTTTGCTCAATGAATAAAAAGTAAATAGAGAGAGTAAGCTGAATGGAAGTGTAAGGATACAAATAGAACGAAGAGAGCAGGCTCGTGGCGCTTATCGGCGACCCGCCCTCTAGTATACTACTATGTCTACAAGATGAGAGAGAGGGTTGCTACATTTATTACTTTTTATTGGCGTCTTACTTAATAATAAATTGAAAATGCTCTATGAAAGAAAAAAAAAATTTTTTTTTAATTGATCAAGTACTCAGTGTAATATTTTTATTAAAAGTTTTTTCTTAAAATTGCAACTATGTTGCTTTAAGATAAATATTTAAAAAAAATTCAATTAAATAAATTAACAAAATATGATAGCCCTAAGTTATTCAAATATATTTTTATTGCTCTAGTAACTGAAATAATTTTTTTATTAGAATTCATTAAATAATTTTTTGAATAAATATTTATAGTTGTGAACTTAGTTTTAAATGTATACAGATTTTCGAGACAAAGTAAGACGATGATAAAAAATAAATAAATATTTTTTTCATTTAAATTAAGATAAAGAAAAAAGCATTGTTAATTTAACTGAATCTATTCTATTTTTTAAATGCTCAGTGATGTAAAAAATTGAATTCTTTCTATTTGTTTTATTTATTTATTTAAAAAAAAACTACTCACATAGAATTAATAATTATAAAAGAAATTCACTCGAAGTTTAAAAGGCTATTTACGACCAAAATTACTTTTAATTTTTCATTTAATTTTGAAGCAATTGAAAAAAAATTAAATGGTTTAGGATAGACAAATTTTGAATTTATATATATAATCAAAATACAGCGGGAGGACAAAATGAAACACTTTTAGAGTTATACATCTTTTCATATGTCTCAAGAAATACACAAAGAATTTTTTTTATAAATTTATAAGTGTTTAGGTAATGCGATTTCTCATACTTATCAATAAAGTATAAAGCTTTTAGAGGATTGAGGGACCAAGAATATACTGCAAACGAGAATAATGTTTTTAAACACCCTATGCCAAAATGTAGCAATAAATTTGTAACAATTATTTTGGCTATTATGTGCAATAAATTTCACAAAATTTCGTAACCCTAACTTAAATATTTATGGAAATATGGACATTTTTATAAAAAAAAAAAATTATTTTGGTTGTACGTTTTGTTTTGCGATGACGCTAAATATATTTCATAGAATTAGGCATACCTATTAGAACAATCTAAAGAAATTTATAAAATTTTNTTTTTTTTTTTTTTTTTTTTTTTTTTTTTTTTTTTTTTTTTTTTTTTAAACTGTGTAATATTTAATTAAAGTAGTTCTTTCATACTGCGCATGCGCGGGAAGAAAATGAACATTTTATTTTCATAATTTTGTAGTGAATTGTATTTGATAATTAATGAAAAAAGTCAGTTTGCAATATCTTAAAAATTTAAAAAGTTTCAAGCAATTTTCTACGTTGTTTTTGCACTTTTTAAGAGAAACTCAAAATGATAAGGGGTTTTCTACAAAAATTATTTTGTATTACTAGGAAAAAGAAAGTTAAATATCGAATGATAATAAATTACAATAAACGTTCATACACCAAAATATGATTGTATGAGGAAAGAAAACATGCGAAAGAAAATATTTTTTTAAGGGGGATGATCCCCAACAAAGCCGGTGTCATTTATTTTATTTTAAAAAGTACAAAAACTACTTAGAAAATTTTTTGAAACTTTTTAAATTTTCAAGATATTTAAATCTAACTTGTTAACTTAATCAAGATATTTAAATCTAAAAATGTCCATATTTTTATAAATATTTATGCTAGGTTTAATAAATTTTGTGCAATTATTGCATATAAAAGCAAAAAATATTTTTACAAATTTTAAATCTATTGCTACATTTTTTGGCATAGGGTGTTCAAACACACTATGTTTATATATATATATATATATAAACATTAAAAGTCTATAAATTCTAAATGCAAATGTGAATATTTAGATGCATTGTAGATGTGTATTTAATCAAAACTGTGAGTTAAAGTATTTAACGTAATAATTTTTAAAAAAAGTAAATGTTATATTGAGATTTAAATAAAAGAATGAAAAACTAAGAAATTAAAATAATACTTTTTATTTATTTTTACATCTGCTTACACTAAGAAATCTGCAAATTGATCAAGCAAAAATATTTTTTTTTTTTTTTTTTATAATTCAAAAAACTTACTGATCATTTCATAAAGGATTGAAAAATAATCAAAAATATTTATGCGTAAAAAAGTTTTTGGACAACATTATTTGAAATAAAGTTTTGTTTCCCTTGTTCCCCCTGTCAAGCTATTAGTTGCGGAGATATGGTTGGAAGCACAAAAACAAACCGTAGTAAACAAGTGATTAAACCATTGATGCCACCCCTTCACGCAATTCGTTCGTGGGTGCTGCATTCATCAAACTTATTTTTATTTGGAAAAAAAAGTACATTTTCATGCCTAATTAATTAAGAAAATTACATCAAAAACCCTTAGAGATATATCTAAAATACCCGCATCTTTAAAAACTTGAAACCAAATTGATTATTAAAAGTCTCGTGAAGATTAAAAACAAATGAGCCATTTTAAAGACATTGTTAAATTTTGATGAAATAACTTCCAGACTTCTTGTATGAAAGGAAACTGTAAATTTAAGGTAAACATTTCTTGCAACTTTATAAAAAAAAATTCTAACAAGTTTTTTAAAATTTTTAAGGTCTGTATTTTAGGGTTGATTTGCATATCTTAGGATTAGAGTAGCTAAACTGCCAAAGGCAAACTTAATTCCTTGAAAAGGAGAGTAATCTCTGGAAGTGACAAAAAACTCATTTATTTTCCAAAAAGAAATTGAAAAAATTGCATTAATAAAAATCTGAATCCATATTTTAAATTCATTTTTTTATATTTATGTAATAGGATATTAATCTATGGTAAAAATTCATTATTTCAACAAGGTTTTTCCAATTTACTTTTCTTACTGTCTCCATGTTAGCCTACGTGAGCACAATTTCCTTATTTTTTTAATAACTAATTAATATTTTCGAGTAATTTTTGTTTCACTTTATTTGTTATAACTATTCTGGAAAACTTAGTTCTTTTTTTTAAAGCTTTATGATAGTAAGTATTTTTAAAACTTATTTGACGTTATTGTAATAGTTTTGAGCGATTTTTTAAAAAATACTTACAACTTTAACATATGTAATTACATTCAATGGAATTTATCATCGAATAAATTGAAGAAAAAAATGTTAAGTAGTAACATTTAAAAGAAAGGGAAACTTCACTTACGTAATTATTTACTGTAGGTTAAAATGCAAGAAATTGAATTTCTTACATTTACATTGTAAAACACACTATCTTTAATGGATAAAATATTGTATTTTCTATAAAAACTTAAGACTTATAAAAATCAAAACACTATAATATCAGAACAACACACTTTGGCTTAATACGGAAACACGTGCAAACTAAGTAGAAAAATAATAAATAATGACGCGAATCATTTCTGTGAAAAATTTGCCACTAGGTTAATAAAAGTCATGTTTTGTAATAATTGCGTTTAAAGTAAAGTTAAGTTTTTAACAACATGTTTAATTTTGCAGTAATTTCTAATTATAAAAAATGGTTTCAGAATGGCTTGTGATAAATACGTAAAATAAATGTACATTGTTTGTAAATGTTATAAAAAAAATCGAAAATTTTCAGCGGTTATAATTTTTTACTCAATGATCTACCCAAAAACCAGCAACAGCGATTATAAGTACTTTAATTATCCGAAATCGGAAGAAAATATAACCATCATCAATGTTAATTTCTATAAGATGTTTTTTTTTTCCCTCCAAAAATGTTCATTTTATGCATGTTGATGTCTAAAATAAATAATAAAGTAGCAACTAGAGAATAAATATTTTTGTGTAAACTAAACAGATTTTTTGACTTTTTTAGAAAAAAAAAAGGGGGGGGGGAACAACAAAACTTTGATTAAGTTTAAACTGCAGAGGTTTCTGTACAACTTTCGCAATTTTTTCTGTTCAACTTTTCAACCTTGAACAACTTTTACAAGAAAAATGTGTTAATAATTTATAAAGAATTGTTCCAATAATGTATGTAGTGAGAGAATATGGGTAATACAAGCATTTTCGTTTAGAAAAAAATAAAAATATTCTCGAAAAAAAAAACACGCTGTCAAATTAGTTTTTTTTTTTTTAAGTTACCACTTTTTTATACTTGAACTTGTTACTGTACTATAGGTATCCTATTTAAAAATCTTAAAACCATTTCATTTTGTTAGGAACAGGGTGCAGTGGATATCTTAACATTTTCACGAATTTTATTTATCGATCAAAATAAGTAATAATAACATTAATCGATTCTCGTAAGAAATGTTGTTTTTCAATCGATAGCCAATTATGTCACATGCATTCAGAACTTACGTATTTTACTTTTTAATTGTCGGAAAGTTAAATCCATGCACACTGTAAAAAAAAAAAAAAATTTAATTTTTCGTAAAAAGAAACTGTCTGCTAGTGAGCCAATATTAAAACAGTTTATCAGTTTATTTAAAAAAAATAAAATAGTGTTATTTAAAAACAGACGCCTGTTTTTTAAACAGATGAGAGCTGTTATTTTAATAGACAAAATCTGCGATTTGAACAAAAAACTGTATAATGTAACCATGTCAGCGTTGTGGTCGGGATGAGTTTATTTAATAAATGCTAATTAATTGCGTTTTGTTCAAACGTTTCAATTTTATTAAAAAAAATCTAATAACTATAGATGGTAAACATTCCTTTTACACTTTACCTTTATTAAATCTGAAGAAAATGAAATTGTGATTTATCTGAAATGTTGGTTATCAATAATTAATTGCAAATTATATTTTTAGATACAATATACTACACAATATACTACACTTTTATGTTTCAACTATGATTTATCAAATATATTGTTATTCACTAATAAGAAGTTCTGAACCAATATATATATATATATATATATATACTGAGNTATATATATATATATATAAATTTTATGAAAATTTTTAAACTTCTAAGACTAGAATTCTTTTTCCTAATCATCGAAAATAATACCAATTAACAAAGCTCTACCATTTATG